TTCAGTGACTAATGCTTACTGTCCAGCGAGCTTATGCTAAAAATTCGAGATCGAAATGTTGAAGTGCTGCCGAGTTATTGCGTGACAAAGGGCAAAATGGGGCTCTCAGCAAAAGCGTAAAGGTTTTCTTGTTGGAAGATGCAGAAAGCTGCGAGTGGCCTCAAATGAAAGTAAACATCTATATCTAAAATTTAGTTCGCGGCGATTTTTAAATTTCGCTTCCATTCATTCCCTACACGTATTTTAAGTCAGACTTCTGAAAATAACCCTAATTCGGCAGAGTATTTGCCACTTATCTTTGTACAGAAAACAGAAATCAAAAATCGCCGCGGATCAAACTTTAGATAAATGTCTTAGCTTCAAAATAAAAAAAAAATGAAGATTTTACGAGGAATCGTCGAAGAGTTAATACAACATCACACCGCTAAAACCATGTTCTAAACAATGACGTCATCCGTTCATTAATTGTAGTTCAGCGTCTTTAGCAAAACTAGGATAACTCAACATTGAATTTTTGGCAAACTAAGATGGATTCTGAAAGATGACACTTTGGGATACTGACCCGTATGATTACTTCAGTTTCGAAGGTTTCGAAGAAAACAGCGAATTCCTGAGGGGGGGGAGGGGGCGCCCCCTTAATGGAAACAAGGTATGTTTTTTAGTAGAGTTTATATCAATTTTAGAGGCATCTATAATAATGAAATATATTATATATATAGTTATCCCAACTAACCTTCTATTTAAGAAGGAAAGTTATGTATTCCGATGACGTACCGTATTATAAAAAGAAGTGTATCTCAATTGTACCCCATTCGAAATCTCGTAAATTGAAAATTGAAAATTAAGATATGGCAACCCTGATTCAATCTCACTATCCGTTGTAGTGCTATAAAAATATTTTTTTGATTTTCGCAGTAAAAGTGAAAGAAAAGCATTAATGAATTCGACTCTGGTCAAATTACCTGAATCACTTCACAATAATCAAACATTGTTTATGTCGACTAAAGAAAGAGCAAAAATTCGAAATGAAGAATTATTAAGAGTAAGATAACAAGTGTAGGATAGTACAGATTTATTAATATATTTGAATTTAGACAATTGATAAATTATCGAATGAAGTTGATACGTTTTTAAAGCATGAAGATGGTGGACGATTTACAACATTAAAGGTAGATGAATAAAATCCCATTTAAATTGATATGATATTCTAAAACATATTATTATTTTAGACAAATTATTGGAATATGGTTCAAAAAGTATTACCAATTTGGCAACAAGAGTTAGATGAATACGAAACACAGAAAAAGGAGGGGGAGTTATTGAACAACAAACAACAATAAGTTGAATCTAAACTACCTCAAATGAGCGATTAGAGAGTCACGTATGACTGAAAGAGAAGCATTTGATGATGTAAAAAGATGAACAACAAGGGCGTGATATTAATTTTTTTCATATAAAACTCTGTTAACATTTTTTTATAACTTTTCTGCTTCAATTGTATGTTCGATATATTAAAACTAGAATTCGATAGTCCTAATACTGATATTTATTATTAGTTATAGGATGAAATGTTACTTTAAACTATGAACTTGTTTAAGCTCTTATGTAATGATTCTTTCTACCATTTTTTTATCCATACAAAATTAATTCAAGTGAAAACAGTTGATAATACTAATGATTTATGAATAAAATGAAGTAGTTCAAGTCTAGTTGGTGCCGTTAAATAGCATTTTTAATCAAATCAAGAGGATAATTTCTTTTGTTGTGAAGCAATTATTTTGTTTATCTAAACTAGGCCTACTGCTGTACTAGAACCCAACCTTTTGTCTTCTACAGTTTACGAATTGTTACTCTTGCATTTTGACGTTGGGTTGGTCTTTGACGCCGTCTACTAAGAGAAAAAAACGGATTTGTTTCAATATATTTAATCTTTCAATAGTAATATTGCTCTTCCATTTTATAGCCCACACCTTTCTCTACAATCTCACATCATTTGATTCCAGGTAGAGGGAAAAATTCAATTAGAAAAAAGCTAATCTTTGTTCTGTTGCTCACTTTGGAATTTATGTTCGGTGGGATTTCAAAGCGTAATGTCGAGCTAAAGAAAAAACTAGGATTGATTGTTAATAAGCAGAATCGATACAGCTACGAGCGTGTAACAAATTGATAAGAAAATATAATTGAAAAGCACTTTCTTTGTACACAAAATTCTATTATATTGTTGGAAATTGAGGCTTCACCTACAACATGTCCGATGAAATTATTTTCGATATCGTGATAAATAACACTCCAATCAAGATCAAACTTTAATCATTTTTAGACCTCATGAGGTTTGATATTTGATAAAAAAATGGAACTGAAATATTGCATCGTCGAGGAGAAATTTGAAAAAATACACGAAAATGTCCGATAAGATTTTTAAGAAAAATATTCAGTGAGATTTCTACATGCTTATTTTCAATGAAAATAGAACCGAAATTCAACTTATGACACACCATTCGATTTGGCTGAATGTGTTCTATTCAACCAAGAAGCTCAAAAGTATTAATTCAGTATGACTCCCAAGAGTCATTACCTCAACTAAAAATCTTCGTTTTCGGCATTTCCAATTGAACATCTTCGTGGGAAAGTTTTGGGAGTAGTATCATCGGATTTAGCTCATTACGATCTATCGACCCATAGATAATACCTATTATTTATATCAAGTATAATTGGGTTTTTCCACAGTCACTGTGGGAATTCAGCTGAGTATAGCACCGAAAACACTATTTTTTGCTGTTTTGAGTATAAAAAATATCGGATAAAAGGTTTTCTACTTAACATCTGGTGTAAAAAAACTCAACCCGACACTCTGAACATCTTTTTGTAAGAAACTTACTTTCTGAGAATGTTTTGCTATGCCATTCATTCTTATCTATTTCTAATCCAATCTAACTAACTAACGTCAGTTCTTTCTAGTCAAGATTTTGATGTTCAAAATGTGGAATATTTTTATTGTATCTCGATATAGAAATCCATTTTTCATGTAAAATCTGAGAAATAAGACAATAAAATTCATCTCTAATATATCTTGATGAGATATTGATAAATTACTATTATCATCATATGGTGTATTATCATAATCAGTTGCAACAAATTTCTAATAATAATTTTACTGTTAACTGTATTAAAATAACTTCATTAATCGTTTATGAACTTTGTTGTTCGGATTTCAAAAACTATCACCGTATATCCGAGAAAATAAAATAAAAAACACACAGTACTTTTGTAGTAATGACCTTTTATATATTAACAAAAAATCTGCGAAACATATATATAATAAGGCACAACTCAATACAATTGTCAATACAATTAAAACAATAACTGGCAAATGTTTGCGTCAAATGTACATGCACTCTGTACGAATACACAAAAGAGACTGTTTCGAGATTTTGAGAAAAAGAATAAAGCGATTAACGTTAACTATATCTGTTAATAATAAACACAAATATGTGAAGACTTAATTTTAGTAATTCTGACATTTTCGAATAATCATTTGCCTATGAGGGAGCAACGTAATGTAAAACTGTTCAATTTTGAGAGTAATCTACGCTCATTCCTCTCTTGAAATAGTTCGACTCATTTTTACTCATAATCTATGTCTTTCTATTCTATGAACTATTTTAGATTTAGTTAGTTGGTTTATTAATCTTTTAAATAAAAAAGAGCAATGTCTGTTGCATCACGTTTGATATTTAATTTATTAAGATCATCTAATGTAATTAAACGATGTTGTTCTGCTGTTGCTGCTATTACACCACCATTTAAATTTTTTTTATATAATTTTGGCGATTGTTCTAATACATTAATATATGCTTGTAATTCATTTTTCAATTCTTGTTCAATATTTGTTAAACGTGTTCTTTGTTCATCTTCATTTTCAACGACATTATTGATTGAAAATGTATCAAATTGAATATTTGATAGAATATGTTTAACAATTAACATTAATTCATTCGGTGATCTAAAAGAAAAAGAACCTATAAAATGACTTTTCACTGTTGTCAATAATAAATTAGTAGACTTACGAGGCATAAAATTCAATTATTAATGTTTCATCATCAATAATTTGAATAATAATATTTTCTAATAGTGTACATTGTCCAATACGAATATAAATTGTCTCAAGTATATCTTTAAAATTCATTAATTTTAATATTTGTATCATTTGTTTGATAGTTTCACTTTTTGACGTTGATTGAAGTGAAATAGATAAACGTGATTGAGTACAAATATATGAGATACATTTTGAACAATATGAATGGCTTGCTAAAAAACTAAAGAAAGAACATGTTGAAACAATTTTAAGAAAATAATTGTGAATAACTCACACAAATCAGTTTCCAATTCATTCAATTGTAATAAATATTCATTTCCAATAAATTGATCGAGTGTAGTTTTTAATATACCAACTTGATATATTCGAATATCAGCTAATAAAAATAATGTTAATTCAAAATCATTTTCTAAATCAATTGTATTAACATTTGTTGTCAATATTAATGTGGCACATTCATTTGATTTTAGTCTATAAGGCAATTTATCTGTTTGAAGTAGTGGAAAAAAATATTTTTGCTTTTGATGATTATTCAAGATCATTATTAATTGCATAATTCTCACATTATTTTGTTGATTATCAATAGCAAAAAAATATACGGGATCAAGACAAACACTAGAACAAATAATACTGTTATTTTAGCACTGTTCATTTATTTCAAGTTAAACTCTCGTTCGGTAAAATCTACGTTGTTAACCATAAATCGGATTAGACGAACTAATGGGCAAACTTTTCCAACAAATTTTGAGAATTATTGCAACCAAGTAAAATGAGATCATTTTTTATTTTTATTCACGATACGGTCGAATATTCACGACAGTTAAGATCAAAATATCGTGAATAAAAAAAAAAATGATCTCATTTTACTTGGTTGCAATAATTCTCAAAATTCATAAATCGGATCTTGACAAACGTTTGAGGGAATGTCGCGGTGTCAAAGTATGGTGACGAAACACGTTTTTTGACTCAATGTTTGTCCATTAGCGAGATGTAGCCATAGCAGTGGCAAAAATGGAGCTGTTTGTATTTTTCAAAATTTTTTATTCAATTAGATGTCGAAGAGCTCAGGTTGATTTCAAAATGAATGTACTATATGCGGCTATAAATTGACAGAGCCTAACTTTTAAATATTTGCGTTACTGATTTTTGGCAGCTAAAAATTTTGATTTTTGAAAGATCCAGAAATCCTTCGAAACGTTGTTCGTTTCTATTTACTAAAATTATTACTAAAAAGGACAGCAAAATTAAAAATCGGACTCTAACCATCGCTAACTTCACTTGAGCTGGATGAAAAATTTGGGAAATACAAACAGTCTTAACGAGAAAAAAACGATTTTTGGGAAAAACACAACACAAGTCTTAAAAAAATCAGAATTTTCTCCTTGATAAAGCAACATAAGGGAAAACTGACAATAAATCGTTATAGGTTATTGACTGTGGCGAATCGAACGGGCAGGTACATAGGCATGTCATGTGTGGCGTATGTTTTTCGTGTAAAGGAAGTTTTCAAAAAATTATTTTTTTGAATTTGGGATATTTCAGAAAAAACTCTCTAAAATCCTCAAAACTATCGTAAAACTAATAAATTATAGTGCGAGAGTAGACACTGTTATTCAACCATGTAGAAATCTTAAAATATTTTTGAACAAAATTGACTTTTTTGACACGAGTCTTATCCTTAAAATCAGAATAAATTAAATAAAAATCTGCTCATTAGATGGTCACAGACTACCTGCTTTTGTTTTCAATCGTTAAACCAATAAATAATTTTGATCTATAACTAAACCAAAACATTTTATTCAACAATTTAATGTGTGGTTTATCATCTTTATATGACCAATTTTTAACTGTATGATGATGTGTATTATCTGCTGTTGTCTAAACAATAGAATACACGTAATTATATATAAATGAAAATTATTGCTGTAATCACCAATGTTGTTAAATCTGAAATATGATGTTGATCGATAATTTGATCAAGAAGAGATTGTAGTACTCGTAATCGATTGTATCCATCATTGACAATATATTCAGCATTCTAAAAATATAACTAATTTGTACATAATTCATTTAAACTACCTGTAATAAACTAACAATTATCTTATATTTGAGCATTTCATGAATCAGTGTTAAACTATGTCGTGATGGACTATCTGTAGCATCAATACCTCGTTCATTTAATGAACTATCTAAACTTGTCTAAAGAAATGAAATACATTCATTCATATTCTATGTTAATATGTCGCCTTCTATTTTCTTCTCACCAACATATGATCAATATTTGTTCGATAACAATCTTTTATTAAAAATGAATTCAATGATTTATCTTCTAAAAATAATAATTGTGAATAATTTAGTTGTATAAAATCATCAATTAAAATATATTTAGCTTGAATATTTGTTGATGAAACATATTCAAGTGATGTTTGTTCATATGAATTTTGAAATTGAATAATTTGAACGGTATATGGATGATTATGTTCCATCATTATAAATAGAAGACCATTTCTTACTGAATCATATTGATAAATTGAATGAGCAATTGTATCCAAATGAAGATCATAGATAATGATACCATTTTTACAGAATAATAAATGACAATCAATTGTTGATATTAAAATATCTCCTACAATTGATCTTGTACACAATTGAAGTTGATGTTTTAGAATAGAGAGTGTTTGAAAATTTGTTTTTATATCAAATAGTTTTGGAAAAAATAAATTTGTTTCGAATATAATTAGTCGAGTTTTATCATGTGTCGTTGTACCATGATAAACAGTCATTGTATTCTCCACAGTTCCCATTATCCAATAACTATTATCATACGAATGACAATAAATATAATTTGTTATTGGACATTCTATACGTTGAACACATTGATTTCGAATATTTTCAATTAAATAAAGATAACCATCGAATATGGTAGTAAAAATTGTTAATGATTGTGATAATAAAAAAAAATTGATAATTGATACAGGTGTTTCAATCAAATAAGTTAATTTACAATTCCATGGTCGCTGATTTAAACGGAAGAGGGTTAAAATAATATTTTTTGTTATGGTATGAACTAATTTTATCAAAATTAATAATGAATTTTCTTCAATATATGAGCTTAATACTGAACATGTCGTATCACATTTTATATTTGTTAATGTTGGATAAAGTGTGTCTTCTAAACAAAATCTTTCATCTGATGTATCAAAACGGTATATCATGAGTTTTAATGATGATTTGATATCGTCGTTATTACTAGATGATTCTAGTTTTATTACACGACCCAGATAGGACAAGATATCCACTGAAGTTTTACTATTTATACTCATCTAGAAGAAAAGCGAAAAAAGTTAGATGAACAAATATCACTAGATCTTTCATTAGTAAGTGTTTCCTAAGAATTGTATTACAAATATCTCTTTTCAACAACCATTGATAATTAGCTCAACTAAAAAACTTTCTCTACAAACAGATATACCAATACATGTAGGTATTTGTGTCTGATTTATCTCGATAATCCTCTTTTACTTATCATATGTGAAAAAGGTCGTCACCTGATCAAGAGCTATCTGTGTAAATGACATCGTGCTATATGTAATCGATAGCATTGATTACGAATCTGATATTTGTTGTAAACTTTAAATGGCTTTTGAGTGGATTTATGAAATTCTGAATCTTAAAAAATAAAATTATGTGAGTATCCGTTTTTAGAATATATCATATTACATGTTTTCTTCTGTTATTTTGAAGGTTATCATGTGAGTATGAACAATGTCATAAGATTTTCCATATAAAGTTTGACAGTGAACAAGTATTCATGAGCATTGTTCACTATGTTTAATAACATTCTTATTCTATATCCAATTCTGGTACGTTGATATACTTTATAAAATGACAATCTTACAAGAACTTTATTTTTAAGTGTTCTGATTTTCGAACGCAACAATTACAATATTCATAATCAGAACTATTGATGATTATCTCTAGCAAGAGAAGTCATTTAACTGTATTATTTTCATACAATAAGTTCAAGAAACATATCGATGACAGCTGAAGCGAATTACTCATAGCAGAATAATACTTGAGTCTATACAAATAATTTTCAAAGTTGACATTTATTATATAAATAAAAGAACATTCTTGTACTTATAGACAAAAATAAAACTAGTATGAAAAAAATATTTTAACAAAAGAATTCATCTTCTGTTCTCAATCTATACATATTGACATACATACAAGGAAAAAAGAAAAGAAAAATATAACATAATTTTAATATCATTTTAAACTTTTATGTGAATAAGACAAAAAAAGAAGTTATTGTAAAAACAATACAATAAAAATATTGAAATAGTTCATTATAATATACCATTATTTTCTACCACCTTTTCCTTTTTTCCCACGAGGTTTTTCCTACAAATATAGAGATTTATTTAGAAATTCATCATACACGTAAATATATGACTTTTTAGTTACTTCATCTTCCTGGTAACTTGGATTTGTATTTAATCTTGTTCGCAAATTATATTTTATTTTTGGCGTTTGTGCTTTGGGTGGTGGTGGCATTAGCATTTGAGGAGTAATAATTGGTTGTAACATCTAGAAGGAAAAAATAATTCATTTTTTTACACAATGGCAATAACAGAAATCTTACTCGTGTGGCTGATATTGAAGAACCAAAAGCCACTGATGTTTTCATTTGAACACGACTGAAATGTACGGAATTCTCAGACGCTAAAAGTATAAAATTAGTCGTGAAAAATGATTCAGATGGAAATGATTCTGAAATTAATCTTACGTGGTGTATGATGAAATAACGATTGTAACCGTTTTTTTAGCATTGTTGATTTTGGTGTTGATATTGATTGTTCATCTACTGGTATTGCATGTGACTTGCTCACTATTGAAGGAGTTCGTCGAAGATCTGTAAGCATTGGGGGAGAATTAGAATTGAGTGGTGAAAAATTGTTTGCTCTGTGTGTTGATAATGAAACTGTACGAGTGGTAGTTGTTGGAGTTTGACGATGACTATCAATTTCTTGTCGACTACGTACAACAACTTTCTTTTTATTTGATTTTGGTCTAACTATAGTACAAAATGATATTAGACTATCAAGCTTCTTGGTAAATGATAAATTTACTTTGTTTCTGAATTTGTTTTACCATTTTTGAACCACGATCAATTTCGTCGAGCTTTAGAAAAGAATACAACAGATTTTAATTAATATACTGATAACAACTGGTAGTCCCTTTATTAAGCTTGCTAAATAGTTAAGAAAATCTAAACTTTGAAGAGTACTCAATCTACAATGCTTTATAAAACTGAAATCGTCAAATTATATAGCAGAAGTCAATAACAATTATTTATTCCAGTCCAAAAAAGAAGGGCATAATTTAAATAGGTGCAAATAGCTACATTAAGACTTACTCGACTACTTGATTTCGTTTCAGAATTCTTCTTTTGCCGTGTTGATGTTTTTTTCTTCGATGTTTTTGTTTGAAAGACTATACTGTCGTTGTCGTCACTTGATGAGATATTTTTTGAACTTGAACGTGTTACACGTTTTACCTTTTTAGCAGTATTTCCATCCTTGAAAAAAAACAAAGAACAATAATCTATCACAATTTGAATCATAGTTGCATCTTACTTCATCGTTTAGATCATGTGTTTGACGTTTTAATCTTCTACGAGTAATAATTGAATCATCATCTTGCTGTTGTGTAGATGACTTTGCTTCTTCCAATTCTTTTACTGTTGCTTCATATTTATTTTTCCACATATCTTTTTCTAGTGATATTTTTCCATAAGATTTCTTTTGTTCATCATATTGATCAGTTAATTCTTTTGCTTGTTCACGTACGCGACATAATTCTATCTGTAAATTATCATATTTAACAATTGTTTGTTGATGATCGTATTGTTTCCGTTCATACGTTTTCTTCTGTTTAACTGATTCAGCAATTTCCGTTTCCAATTTTTCTTTGACACCATGAAAACTAAACAAAACTAAGAGAAAACAATCATTCAAGAAATTAATTTCTTAATGAGACTTAAACTGTACTAATAACCTTTTCATTTGTGTATTAATCTTTACGTGGTGTTTATTTACTAGTGTCTGTGCTACTTTTCAACCTTCATCAACGGGGGTGAAGATGCAATTATGAAACACTCAAGCGATTTAACAAATAAAACATCCATTCTTTCAGAATTCATAAATCAAAATTCCACAAATATTTAAAAAAAGTCAATAAGAACAATAGAACACACCGTTTTTCAAATTCCTGTTTACGATAAACTTCCAAATTTAAATCACGTTTGAGACGAGCTAATTCTTGCGAATGTTCACTATTCAGTTGGGTTATTTGTGAGTTTAATTTTGATTTATTGGCTGCATAGTCAATTATTTTGCTTTCATATTCATTTTTCATTTGTTCATGTTGATGTTTCAGTAATTCATAGTTGTGTTCCATTAGATCAAATTGTTTCATTCTTTCATCGTACGAACGTTGGAGTTGATCGACTTTCTTTGAGTAATCGTCATTTTTCTCTGTTAATAAGTGGATACTTGTGACTGAAGATTGTGGAACATTTTTTTGTTTTGAAAAACGTTGATCATTTAACTGTACAAGAAAAAATATTAAATAATCAAAGAAATAGCAAATGTGCACAGCGCCAGATTTACATATCTCGAACAGATCCAAAAAAATTGCCAACGCTCAATTTATCTGAAAAGACTTTGTGTATATTTAACGGAAAAACTTCCTTAGTACACGTTTTTTTCTACGATTAGTTGTACATTGTCACATTTAATACATACCAATGGTAAATCCGTTTTCAGCGTTCTTATCACATCACGTTGTTGCATCAAACAACCGAGCAATTTTACACGTTCTTCACTAAAAACAAAAAAAATTGACAACATAGTATCAATGACAAATAGTAATCAAAGTCTAGAGATACAGAAAATATCAAATAGTCATAGAAAAACAAGTTTTTTGAAATTTATATAATCAACTATAAAGAGCCTGACGTATAATTCCCTCTGCTCCATTTGCGTCACAGTCTCAACGTTTCTGACAGCACTACAAGAAACCCAAAACTTACTGTCTTTCAAGCATAAACGAGCGGCGCCATGTTGCTTGTTTCTGAAGTAATTTCAATGCAGCATCAGTTGCTTTACGCCAGTAAACAATCTAAGGACAAAATCGCCACAATGAGACAACAGCAAAATTACTATTTGTTCAAAACGTACGGAATGTTCGTCATATTCGTCATTTGGATGCTCTAGAATAAGAAAGAAGACTTATTTTAAGCGTTCAATGCAAAAATATATAAATTTCCAACCTTCTTCATCAGTGGGTTTGTCTCGTTTATCGCGTTGAACTGGTATCACTTTTGCACTTCTCAATCGTTTAAGATTTCTCAATTTGAGATGTTTCGATGCTGTTGATGACGATGATGCAGCTTGTTTGGCAAATACTGGTTCACATTGGACAATAGTAGTCTATAAAGAAGAAGAGCAAGTGAGTAAGAAATAATGTATTTCTTTAATATGAACCTTTTGAGCTAATGAAGCAAATTTCAACAGATCATTTGTCTGAGACGTAAAACTTGCGCATGGATTGATATTAACAACAATCGATATTTGACCAATACCAGTAAAAAATGGACGAAAAAGATTTGTTAATACACTATTACGAAATGGTACAACAAATTGTTTTCTAGAACAAAGACCGGATAAACAGATAGCTGATGTTCAGTGCACAGTGTTCTGAAGAAAAAGTCTAATTTATTCTACAACTATTCACATGAAAAGACATGTAAGTTAGCGTGTAAACAATACAAAACATACTTTGTTTTTTGATTTTCATTCAAAATACGGATACAATCTTTTAATGTCATTAACGATGTATTGATATTACACGTTTCATTCATTTGTTTTCCCACATGCTGAGTTAATGGTTCATTACCCGCTAAATCACAAATATACAAATGGCTCATTGTTGGTACTTCGCTAAATTCATCAGTTGTTATTAATGTAATGCATAGTATTGCATGACTACGTGATGATGCTTCATTAAAAACCGTTTTTGATGTTGAACGGTTAATAAAAGCAAATCTGACAACATCTTTTGCTTCATTTAAATCGAATACTGGCACTTGTATAAGATTTCGAATTGTTGTCGTTGAATCACCTTGTAGTAAACGTAACGGTTTTCGTGTTTTAATTTCATTTGGTTTAACCAATAAGTCATAAATTTGTTCGTTATACAATTCAAAAAACGATATCCAGACAGAATAATATTCGTCTAAACATACAAGATAAACATTAGCAGAATAAATCTATGACCAGATAAAGTCTATCTACCTTGCAATGATAAATCATCTAAACATTGATTTTGCACAATTCTTGGCAATTTTGTTATTCTCTTCAATGAAAACACAAACAAACAAAACTCATTTTATGTCGCTGTGATCTTTGGACATACACAAACCTCATCAGTTCGATCTTGTTTAAATATATAATTTCTATACGATATTTCTTGATTTAAATCACCTGGTTTACACGGTGAGTATGTTTCAAATCCGGTTGGTTTATAAAGTACACTATTGTCAATATTCGAACCAATATAATGAAATATTTGCGTTAAGCATTGCGGGATGACTCCCGGCTTATCTTGACTACCAAACATCGTATGAGTTTTGCCACTGTTGGATAAACCCATGGTGAATAATAGCCAATTGGACCCTTCAAAGACGGCATTTGTTGGCATTTCAAATGTTTGTGAATAAAATTCTTCTTGAGTACATTGTTCATTGAATACGCGTGTCACTTCATATTCGTTGTAAGATGATTGTACGGAACGTATTTGACTAATGTTTGATGGATAAATTTTGATACCAACACGTTTTTCATCCAATATTTCAATTGTTTTTTGATTTTCACCTTTGGCAATTTCATCAAGAATAAACGGACGAAAACGAAGATAAACCAAAAATGGTGGTTCTTTACGACGTAATTTATTCGAAGATGTATCACCGTTTGTATGATTCGTTCGTGACATATCTGAAAAATTTTGTAGAAGCACACAGTATTCAAGAAATACTGATTTATTAAAGTCTTTACCAGATAAGTGATTCATTATCAAAAGGTCGGTTTACGATAGCCTCGATCGTCACTTGAACAAAATCATAAAATATTAAACGCCAAATTAAAATTCCGAGAAAACCTTAAAAAGTACTGATGACGGAAGAAATCTCGGAGGATTCTCGATGAGGAAGTGTACAACACTTACTGTGTTTTAGTAATTCGACAAGTAGAACGAGACTGTATGAGCAATAACGTGGAGCTGATATAGATATCTGCTGCTATATATCCATCTTCAAGTAACAACAGACCAACAGTTTTATTTGATTCTCGACTATTTTTCAGGAAAAGCTAGATTTACTAGTGAAGCTCCGGATAGCAAAACAGAGGAAAAGACTTCATATGACGGTATTCTCCCTCTTTTTCTGATGTTACTGTGTTTCAGCCCGTATAGTATGAGTAGTATACTCCCACTATATTACTATTACTAGCTAGATAAGTAGTCCTATCGATTTGTCGAATGATTGGACGAGAAGAAAAGAACGAAAAACATAGAAAAGGATTTATGCAGTGTAATAAACCTTCTAAATCTTGCAAGAAAAACATATTTAATTTTCTACTGTCTCTAACACGTACATTATATCAAAATAAAAGAGATATGTTTCGTTTTTACTAATGTTAACATTTTAAGGGAGATGTTGCTCGGGATACGCAACTAAACGTGACTGGAAGCGAAATGGAAACTACTAAACTATAGGCTTATTTTTCAAAGCTGTAGAGTCGACTTTTTATAATTATTATAATAATTGATTTTATAGCGAACAAACGCCAATAATTTAATTGTGATGTCTCTAGTCTTTGACCAGGGGTGCGTTTCTAAAAAAACTTACATTTTCCACTAAAATCAAAATTTAAGTCGCACTTAAAAATACTTAAGTCAAACAGATGTCATGCAGTAAAAACCATTCGTATTTTAGACAACTTAGATTGTTTTACAGCAGTGTTCTGAAAAAAATCTCTGAAAAACGATGTTCAGTCTAATTATGGTGGATTGGATGGGTTACGGACTTCAAATAAAGAAGTTACAAAATTTAAAATAGTTTTCTACTTAAAAGCCTAAGTGGAAACTTAAGTGAGATCGAGAGATGACTTAAATTAAGTAATGTTTGAGAAACAAACACACTTAGCTAAAAAATTGACTTAAGACGAATTTTTTACTTAAGTTTAAGTTAAAATTAAAAATTCACTCGTTAGAAGACGATTGTTAGGGAGATGTTGTGTACACCATCGTGACACAAACTCGCGTTTAAAATAAATTTTTAGGTAAAGTTTTCAAGTCTTCATAGTTCTACAATTTTCTTCTATAATGAGAATATCGAAACGATTTTCAAAATCAGGGGGATTACAATAATCCGTCATTATTTACTCCCCTGATAATGAGATAAATCTAGTATATTCTACTATTCGTCTTTTCATCGAACGTTATGAATCGATCCGCAGGAATCTTTGACATACGTAAGTTGCTATTAAATTTAAGTGAGCATTTAAGTGTCGACTTGATTTTTGGTCTTTCATGTAAGAAGAGATTTGGTACATCATTTCCTAAAACCGGAAATTTAAAAATCTTTTCGAACTAGGATTGTGGGAGGATCCTAGAAAGAAAAAATCTGTTTGAATTTTTAAAATTTGAAATAGCAACGTACTTTGTTTTTACATAGATAGCGCAAGTGCCCTCTAAAAACAAGGAATCATCCGGATCCTTCATCTGTCATGGTTTCGACGTGGCAAAACGGATGAAACAAAGGTTATTGATCGCGCGCGAAGTCTCGTTGGCTGTGATTGTTCTTTTGAAAAAAATCGAAAATATAATGAAAATCTATAGCAGAATACCAAGATATCTATTTTTATCTACTTCTGCTTCTGTACTTAAGATTAATAAAAACTCATTTCCTTTCTAAAATGTCTACAATATTCTTTCACAAACCGTAGTACTTTCTACTGATATTAACATTTTTATTAAACGCCAGAGTACAGATCAAAACTCGAACCAGGCCAGACAAGGCTACAAATTTTCGGCCTGCACCAGGCTAAGGCAGACCGGGCCTAAACTGAAACAGGTTCAGGCAGACCTTTGGAAGCACTGGGCGGCCTAGCTTGGTTATTAATGGACGTCGTGCATCACTAAATCCTGACACGGTTGAGGATATCTTGTTAGTTAGATCAGTTCAGAAAATACGTGAACAAAAATCAAATTTTTTTACTCAGATATATTGTTTAATTATCTGTCACTTTTCTTTTCATCTTATGTTATTAGTATTTGTACATTTTGTTTATTAAACAAGTGACCAGGTTTCTACAGACCAGGCCAGGGTAGGCCGAGAACAATGGCAGGCAGACAGGCAAGGCCCAGGAAATATATCGACAGGCCCAGACAGATCTAAACAATACAGGCCTGACGCAGGCAGACCAGGCGTCAAAAGTGTCGGCCTGTTTCGAGCCCTGGTACAAACACTTAGATATTCTGAACTAGCACTACTCTTTAGTTAACTATCGAGAACGAGTGATGATCTTTCATCTGTCGTTTGTCACCGTTCAAAAGAGTATGGCGTACCAAAGTAATTTATTGCAATTAATTATTGTCTGAGATATTTTAGTCCATTTCATCTTTTATGGCTACAGTAAATAAATGTTCATAAGATGAGAAAATGTACGAAGATCTGTGCTTTTATTTTCAAGCCATGTGTCGTAGTTTATACCAAAATTTTTTGACAATCAGCTAACGCAAAATATACAGCTGTAACGTCAAATGCGTACATCGACGAAAGCGAGTACAACACAAATATTGTTCCATTATATATAACGATGGGAAATGCTGTAAACGTTCCTTTGTTCTTAAAGGGATAGTATTTATTTATATGCTTGTAAACAGTCATAAAATGGTGATAATTTTCCCAATCTTGCTTGGTATTTTAAATACCACAATGGTTTGTTGAGACATGGATCATCTTTCTTCCCTGATTGTTCGTCCAATGGCTCTTTGATTTGTCCAAAATTATCGTCAAATGCATCATAATACCTTTTGTTTCGTTGATTTTTATGTAAACTATCAAATTGGTCTCGTACGAGGTGCGATTGGGCTAAAATAGAAGAATATCAAAAATACTAAAATACCTCGTTGGATCAAAAACAAATATCTTCTTCTAAATAATGTATAACATTTATTCTCTCAGATGAAATAACAATATCGTTCTATATCATGATTAGGTAATTGTCGGTACCGGTACTTGCATGATACCGGTACCGAGTGTTCGGTACCAACCATTGGAACCGTACCGAAAGTACTGAAGCTTTCGGTACCAACTCGGTACCGGTACCGAATGTACCGAAGTTTTTTTCATTATCTAAATCTATTTTTGAACTCACAAGAAGCTTTTTCCTCCTTAAACCACGAAGACTTTCGTCCCTTAATTTTTTTCGTAGATATCGAACTTTTCGGTACTTTCCCTGGTACCTAATCGAAAGTACCGAATGATTTGATATCTAACGGGGTACCGAACCGAAATTTTCGGTACTGCCCGAAAACAGTACCGATACCGAAATGCCGACAATTACCTAATCATGATCACAATACAAAGTATATTTCCTACACGAGTACCCTTGTTAGGAAGAATATCAGTTCTTTGTTTGTTTCAAGTTTAGGTAGATACACTTTTTTTCATGCTGATTTGAATTTTGCTTAAGAAATGATTTGCTTAAGACATTTGGCACATTTTGTTTAAGAGATACTTTCGAGTTAACAGAGTATTAATTTATCCGAAAAACTGGGGAGGATGGTTGATAAGACTTATAATAAGGTTCAGGGAAACAATTTCCTGCATACATCGTGGGTATTATCAGGAGACTTGGTAAAGACTGCGTGACCGTCAGGTCGTTTTCCATTCTCTATTTTTTGAACTGAAGCAAAAATATATATCGTTTGAATTAAATTTTGTGATTTCATATACAGTTTGAACAGATCGTCATCTCAATGCCATCATCCCGATGTGGACGAACACTTGGATGTGAGAGAGGGAAAGAAGGGGAAATATATCTAAATTTCATCAGCGAAAATTTTCTTAGTGTTTCATGTTCAAGCACAAAAAGGGATCTGGTCGCCTATACTTCAAAGTCATCCTCTCTTATAAGTGACCACTTTTATATATGGTTGCACTATCTCGATTCCGGTACATAAGAATATAATATTAGATTCTCAAAAAGTCTGTCGGATTAAGAGAAAACAGTTTTTCTATTCATCATTTCTCATGCATATAGTTTCAGGGTGGTTTTTAGGTTTCTTTGCAAGAATAATGACAAACTTTGAAAAGTGTTTTATATTATTTTTAAAAAAAATTTGCTAAATCAGTGAATAAATATATGAAAATCTCATCTAGCTCGATGTAGAGTAAACCTCGCTTCAATTGAGTAGAGTTAGATGCTGTTGATTAATCAGGCACGAGTTATCCGATAAGTCAGTGATCTCTCCAGCTAGAACACAATTGCAATCAGACTACAACTAGAAAAATGTATCTTAATCTAGCTTTCAGCAAGAGCTAATCGAATTTTGTACTCTACTAAACTGTACTGAAAATACTGGAGTTCGTTGATCATTTAGTATCGATAGTTTTCGAATTACTTACCGTAAACCTGACACATCGCGACTAATGCAATAGTTATTAATAAAAACAGCACCGATCTCATTGTTGTATTTAGCTCTAGAAATAAATGAAATCACTTAATAACATTCCAAGTAAGAATTTATCATATCGATTTTCAATTTTCTGCACATTTCTGCAAAAAAAAATTTTTAATGTATCAACGTGTGTTTATGTTAGGCACAATTATGCAATGCTGTTGGGAGCGTATAATGGTGCTACTTGAAATTTTTTCACAGATTTATGCGTTAAAAGATAGAATCAAACGCAGAATGAAGGAGAAAGTCTACAAAAACTTACTTTTTGTTTTGCTAATCTAGTCTATTTCACTATATTAAGCAAAATTCTGTCTACACTATGTAGAGAAGTAGATTAGAGATTCACGAGATAATTATATCATCTATCTTTATTTATCGACGCAAAAGGCAATAGTTCAACAAAAAAACAAAACAAATCAATTCTTCTGATTTTTGCCGTCGCTTTTCGATCTTTGAAGTCAATCGAGACCAAAATTTTTGAAAATGACTTAGTTTTCTAACGCATTTCTTCTTTCTTTTTATATGATGGAAAAAGTCCCATATAATAATACTTTTTTCTCATTTCATGATCACAATTTTGTTTTTTTCTTTATCCCAATGGATAAGATTATCAAATAGACTAATTCGTGAACAAATTTTTTTACATTTATATATACAATCGGGTAGATGGTCAATTATTAGAGAATATGATCTTGCCATCTCTTTTTCTTTTTCTATTTAAGACGGATGAATTATTAGACTTCTTCTCTATGCTAGTCTTATTTTTAATGCTTGAGGCTAAACAACATTTATATTCCTAAGTATTATTGAACGTCATCAAAAATATTTTTTTTGCCGATATGATCTGTATCGCTACGTATTTTAGTTATTTACTTAATTTGATGAAGAAAAAAAAAAATCTTTGCTTGGTGTTCTGCCATCATTCTGGTAATGCAATTGATGTAAGACGAAAAATGGATGAAATTTGATTATTAGTTGGAGAAATAATAAAATTGAACAAAAATCTATATGTAATCATTATATGTAATCACTATATTGAACGTTTAGATAGATTACAACTGAACACGCAATGTTCAAAAGTTATGGATTAGTGGCAAATCTATGACCGATATACGTCTATCTATGAGAAAAAAAGATTAGTAAATCCTTCATCTGATAGAGATTTTCCTATACTAATTTTTTTTGCATGACTGGTAATCCATTTCAATCTAGCTGAATGATTCAAGTCCAAATTTTTTTCCATATTCTAACTGAAGAAAGACTGAATTTCAACTTCATTAACTCTTGTCTCCATGTTTTGATTTATCAACATGTCATTTTTTTCTCAAAACTTGCTGTTGTTAAGCTATCTTAACGCTACTCTCCTCCCACCCTCTTTTTGGGCTTTCCGTAGAAATGTTGTGAAATAAAAACTAAAAGTTACTAACGCTTCATATGTTCATAACTGATTGGAAACTCAATGGAGCACTTTTCAGTTTTTGTTTTAAGTTTCTAACTATTACTGTCCACAAGTTTCCCAGGAAACTCGGTGTTTCATTGGATCACATTACGAACCGCCCCTGCCCCCCATTAAATTTCATCCGATCGAGTTAAAAATTTTACCAGAGGTTCTCAAGATCATAGCGCCGAGGGAAATTTTGGGAAATTTTTTTCAGACCTTCCTTGTATATTACTTGTATGCAAAAAAAATTATAGGAAAAATACTGCCACTTTTTTCAGGGTATTTGTCGCGATACTTATATCTCTACGAAAATTCATCGAAAAATTCTGGGAGACATCTCATGGTGAAAAAAATACTTTCTTCTATCAGACTATGTCTAAGAAAAATTTTGAATATGCAGAAAAGAAGATAAAAGTTAATGAAACTAAAAAATTGAGGTTTTTTAGGCTTTGAAGGAAAAACTTTAAAAATGCATAACGTTTTGAAGAAAGGTTGTGGAGTGCTGGGAGTGGTTTTATTTTGTAGCCCATACTTTCCTCTGCATTAGGCTATGCACAGCTGATAATCTGGAATTTTTTCAAAAAAGAGGGGAGGGGTACCCTTATGTGCGATATAGCCAAAAACGAATACTGAGTTCCATTTTCCTACTGTTGTTGATCTCGAAGTATACAGACAACTACAGTTAAGCAATATTTTCTGAACCACACACATCTAGTGCATAAAATAAATGCGCTGTAATGTTTATATAAAACACATGTGCTCGCAAAAGTACAATGAAATTTATTGTCAAGATTATTCTAATCTGTAGATGTTTTGTTCAACAGACCTCAAAACCATCGCAGAGGTAAGGTGCCAATAGAAATAGATTAGAATTTTTTTGATCTTCTTTTGGCATGACCAAAATTAAAACCTCTTTTTCTCACTCAGCTCGATGTGCTCTGTCTAGTCATGCCAAAAGAAAACGAAAAAGAATTCTGCTCTGTTTTTGTTTTATTGACACCTTACCTCTGCGATGGTTTGATTATTCGCATTTTAGTATGAGAGCCTTTTTCTTAGACACTGATTTTTTAAAACAGATCCATTATCTGATGCAATTTCTTGTGCTAATGCACTAAATCACGGAAAAAAACCTATTACAGTTTTTTTTCGTTTATTACATTTGATTTATTACATTTTAGAATGCTCTAAGTTTTGTTAAAAATAACTTCGCAAATTTTTTAACAGATGCATTTCGTAGAACAAACAGTTTTCTACAAACATGAGACGTTTCGCAGCTCTGAGCGAGTCTTGATAACCGATGTATAGCCATTCTCCCGGAAGTCTTAACACCAGGTTTTAACTGGTGGATACCTAATTTGGCATAGTCAAAAACTATATGCCCCTATTTTAGTCAATGTGGGTTAACACAAAAGTATAGACGAAAGTTGCGAAATAGGGAGATCAAAAGAGTATGAAATACTGATTTCAAATATTGTACAAAACATATTGTAAACTTGCTGATTTAAGTAAAAATTATTTTAAAAACTGATGAATTATTTTTTGCAAACTATTGTACTGAGAAAAACAAATGTTTTCAAAAGTCATGGTCAACTCTAAATTTTCAAACAAGAGGACATTAATATTCATTTTCTCATAATTTACTAATTACGATATGCCTAACGCAATGGCATATATATAAAATTGTCATGTGAGATAGTGCATATTGACCTGCCTTTAGTTATTAGAATTTTTTTTCTGAAAATAATCGTTCGGCACTTCTAAAATGTAGACGTATATTATAAAGAAAAGTAACAGAACTATACGTACAAAATCAAGAAATAATTTTTGAAAATAAGTCTACTAAAGATATTTAATCAAAAAAAAATCACTGGAGACTGTCACAGATTGTAGAGTATATTGAAAGAAGTTCACCAGACATAATCAAATGCAGAAAATTAATTGAAAAGTTCATTCATTTCTTCTTGGCTATATAATACTAGATCGCATTATACAAAAGACATGTTATCTGTTTTTTTGTTCAAAACTGTCTATATAAACTTAGCATTCTATTATTTAGTAACTTAGCTGTATAGAACTCACTCATGTCCTTATACATTTTACTATTTATCATAAATAAACCATATAAAAAACCAAAACACATCATCGTGGCATACTATTTTTTTAGATATGGGAAGATCATGTTTATCATGACTTGTTTTTCTTTTTTTTTGTTTAATTCACTAGTGAGTTGGAATTAATGTTTTTTATCTATTTTACGTTCAACACATCAGCTTAATCAAGAAAAATATAAGAATTTTCCTCTATAACAAGTCAAACACGCAAAAATGAGGAATTCTTTAAGAATTTCAGAATAACATGTACATCTCTTGTGTAACGCAGAGATTCATAATAGATTCGATTGAACGAAGGTTGCCTCTGAAAACCTAGTCATTTTTACACAGATTTCGGCAGCTGCATCATCTCTCATTACCCTCTTCAAAACAGTTTAGCTTAAACGTAAATATGTTTGTTAAAGGAACGTAAGTTCGTAGTTCTATTTCACAGGTGGCACAGCGTCTCAGAATCATGGGAAGGCTAAAAGGATTTTAATTCTCTCTAGTATCAATTTTCTCATTGACGTCTTTTACTCGACAAATCATAAAAATATTAAAAATGACAAAAAACGTACATCAGCTACCATTAGTCGAGACGACTTTTCCTTATATTTCGATATCATCATGACTGTCGAGTCTCTCTTTTGAAAAAGTTCCATCAAAACATAGTTTAATCGAGTTTGTTTCATTGCCAATTGTAACAGTGCTTTAGTTGGCTATTAAGTGAGATGTCCCCTGTTATTGCGTTTTTACATTCATCACATATGTAATCATATCATCTTTTCAGCCAGAAAAATACATGTTGTAAAAGAAGAAATAAAATCAAGAGTATAACTAAATTTCTTGGAAACTGTATATTTTCTTAATGTTTTAATTCCAAAAATAAAGAGAGATTAAGTCTATCCGGTCAAAATCAGGGAAGGCTCAAGCCTATCGAGCTACCGGCTCCGCTGCCTATGTAATAATGCTTTTAACACTACATTGTAAGATTGGAAATTATTCATGGAAAATGTCCGGCAAATTTAAAAGAGTACCTGCAGAAACTCCTCAAGGATTTTGCAGTTTATAGAAAATCGTCCTTGAATTTCCATAAATAATTTCCAAGAATCTGGAGATTCAAGGAGGAATTTTCCACTTATTGGAAATTGTTTACGGAAATTCGACTTCAATTTTTGAATTTTCATCATGAATAATTTTCAAACTACTGAAAATTCGCCAAGGAATTTGCAGTTTATAGAAAATCGAAGTCGAATTTTTATAAATAATCCCAAGAAACTGAAAATTCGACATCGAATTTCCAGTTTATAGAACATCAGAAACGAATTTCTAGATTCTTGGAAATTATTTATAGAGATTCGATCGATTTTCCAGAAAGTGGAAAATTCGCGAAGAAATTCAACAATTCCTATACAGTTGAAGATTCGTCGAGAATTTCCAGTCGATTTTTCATAAACTAGAAACTTTCCAATTTTGGAACCTTCCTAACAAAACTTTGGATCATCGCTGTCTCTGCTTAAATCAAAATTGTTGCTGGCATAGGCAGAATTGTGATCTAAAGTGGAAACTGTCAAAACTGATGTAAGTGTAATATGAGTGTCTTTACGTGACGCTCTTAAACCTATTTGTTAAGGTACCTATTAATTGCAGAACAAAAAGGTGAATAAGTGTTTGATCTAGAAATTCCTGAGCGAATTTCCACTTTTTAGAAAATCGATCGAATTTCTATAAATAATTCCCAAGAAACTGGAAATTCAGTATCGAATTTCCAGTTTATAGAAAATCAAAATCGAATTTCCAGATTCTTAGAAATTATTTATTGATTTTCTAGAAACTGGAAAATCGCCGTGGATTTTAAAGTTTATAGAAAATCGAATTTATGGAAAGATTACAGTGTAGATTTATCAATTGCTCGTGCTCTGTTAAGACATTGAAATAAATGAAAGTACCACATCATGCATTTCCCTGGAGGAGAAAGAATTACGTATCTGATTTTAAGAATTTTCTCGCTTTTCGACCAAGAATATTTTATACATTTATTTTTGTAAGAGTAGTAAATTATAAACTTGAAAGTTAAGAGCTGTATCAAGTCTTCGAAAATTGATACTGTTACAAAAAAAATTTTTTAACAGTTCATGTCTGTGTTCAATTTGAAAATTTAAGTTTTCAACGTTACTGATAATGTAAACCGTATTTGTACGTCGAGGCCATTTATCAACCCGCAATATTTTTGATTGTTTTTTTGTATGAATATAATTAATATAAAACTATTATGAAATATAACAAATCCAGTAAAAGAAAATTTTGAGAATATTCACTGAATAAAAAATTCATGAATAACGAATCCATTTTGATGTGTTCTGTTCTATACAATGAGATTATTAAAACTATACAACCTCATTTTTCAGGTACTGATTTTTTGAAAAAGTATTTTGTGGAAGTCTACAACAACAATGAACGTTTCATTTTTTTTTCTACTAATATTGCAATGTAAATTAAAAGCGCACGAAAGCAATGATAGTAGAAAACTTTAAATTTTACCATACAATGACTTCAATCTTTCCAGTAAAAAGCATTTTTGAAAAACATTTTTTCCTGCAATTTGTTGTAAAAAGAAAAACTAATTACTACAGCCGTTCGTGACCAAATCATCGAGATCAAGATTCAAGTCTACTAGAAAAAAGCGGGACGAAAATATCCATAGCAGTACAGCTTCTCGCTGGCGTAACCATTAATATAAACAATTAAGTTATTTGTAAATGTATATATCCGATATAACGACACCATGGTGGTTGATTGTTATATTTCTGTAAAATGATTGAGGCTGTGAATAATCCAAGTGTATCACAATCAAAGGAGAAAATTGCAACTTGAATTTGAAGACTATCTTTCTTTCATTTTAAAACACTTATTAAAAATTTGATTTAGATATAGATAAACGTAATAAACGAGAAATATACATGTGATGTGGCAAAATAAGTAGTTAAGTAATAACAACACAAATGACTTTGAGGGAAAAAAAATCGACAATTAGAAAAATCGAAACGTTGTTTGATCATAAATGATGATAAATTGCAATAACGGCCTTTTCTGTTTGATTAATAAGCACCTGACTAAAACAACAAACGTAAGCATTATGTTATTCTTGAAAGGAATAGAAGCGACACCTACTTCTCTACATTTTCGAGACAAACAGTTACTCGTCTTCCCGAAAGACCCGATGCTAATTCCGACAGCAAAGCAATGGGTCCCGGTGATACATCAACACCTCGATCTAAAAGCGTATATTTTTGTTACTTTTTATCTGTGAAAAACTTAGCAGAACTTACTTGTTAAGGCTAAACCATTTTTATCACAGACAAGAACGCCTTGCACTTTGACATTTACAGAATCAAATTTTTCAATTCTATGTAAAAGATAAAAGTGGTTAAATATAATGAGAACAAGATTGCATTACAACACATACGCATTATCGATCAATAATTCAAATTTATTTTCCATAAGTCAGGTTGAAAATTTTCTATAGTCTAAAAAATAATGATTATATTCATATGACGATACACTGAAATCCATGTCTCTCAGAAGTAACCTCCTTGTGACATGGTAAAAATGAATAAAAAAAAAGCATTTTTATTCTATAGAAAAAATAAATAAATACAAGATAGAGAGTACAAAAAACGGTGCTACAACTAGTACAATGTTGTGGGAAAATTTTTCATATATCATTCGATTGATGTTCATTTTCAAGCGCTAGTCGATCATTTAGTTCCACCATACGTTTTTCTCTGTTTTCTTTTTCGTCTTTTCTTATTCGTCGTAGACGTAAACGTCTTTCTCGTTCATGTTCTTTAATAACATCGAGACGACTAAAGTAGAAAGAGAGAGAGAATAATACATATAATCGGACATTTTTGAGTAAACTCAACATACTCTTCTTTTAAACATTCATGATACGCATGTTTTTCAGGATTACAATAACGATAGGCACGTGGCTGATATTCAGCATAACATAGCATAATTGCTCGATAATAATGTGCACAATAATCACGGTGATCTAACGGAATACTTAAACGTGCCATTTCTTCTGGAGTATAAGGTGAAGCTATAAAATAAGAAAAAGGTTAAGAAGGACATAGGAATGAAAATGCTGAACAACATTTATATACTTTTCGTTTTTCTTCCTTCAGGGCTACAAAAGAAAATACAACGATTAGTTTCAAAGTTCAGATAATTAACACGTGATGCTACTTACAATCCATATAATGGATCGAATGTTGGACCAGCTTCTATATTAGGATATTTCTCAGGATGACGATATCTATCGATGCTATAACCCAATCCCATTTGAATGGGAATATAAAACAAAGATCAAATCTGAAATATAAACAACAAGTAAACTTTAGAAATTGAATTTTGCTGTTTATATTCTAAAAGAATAAAGTCTATCCCATAGATTAAAGTGAGAAATATACTAGTATTTCTACTTTTATTCTAAAATAATCCATTTAACAAAAATAAAGCTTTTTAGATTACTTTATCTAAAATAGAACAAAAGAACGATCAGTTGAACCTCATCGTATTCCTATTGAGTTGATACAAGTGCGATAAACGCACATGAAACTATTCCTTTAGTTAATATCTCATGTATAATGATAGAAAAAGCAAACAAACTTTTTTTTATTACTGATGATGCACTAAATCCTAATGCAATACATAAGCTCATGCTGACCGTTCCTCAGATTTATTAATCGGTGACTGACTATAAACGTTATACATTTCTAGCCATATAAAACGTATTAAAACAGAAAATAAAGCCTTCAGAACATGAAATATTTTGTATCATTGTAAATTATGTTAAAGTCCTTTTTGTCGTTGAAGGAAGAAAAAATGATGCAAATCTAGCTGAAGAAGAACTTTCACTAAAATTCATATTTTAATCATTATCGTTCGCCAGATTTAATATTCTCACTTGATGCTTTTGTTCGTTTCTTCTTCTTTTGATGGCCAAATTAGTACATATTCTGTAAGACACAAACGGCCCCTGATAACAGCTTATAGAGTAATGTGGTTAAATTTTTCGATATACACAGAGCAATATCGAATTATATAATGTGGTTCTCTATTCAAATATCACCACATTAACTAAGAAAATAATTGCTGCCTAAAGTACAAGAAAACATTTTCCTTTTGAATATTAAAGAAATACACATGGTCTTTTTTATGATTTGGTACAAGAAACACATTGCGATTCCATGTTCTCTGTGGAAACTTTTGATTTTATGAAATAAATAGATTAAAATCAAGCAACATCTAAATAATCATATCAAATTTCTTCTGTAAAACTTGTTAATATTTTTTCCCTTCGATATCATTTTTTAGGACTAATAAACATGCTCGCATTTCATTTAGAGTCCGTATATATTTAATCTGAAGAGAAAAATAATTAACATGCAAAGAGATGAAAATATGCAAAGAAAAAAATCTTACATGATTTTGTGGTAAATATGACCATAGTAATAATTTAATATAAGCTGATATCAACACATCAATATCCATCTACAAGAAAGATGGTTAGATTTTCAAATTCACTTTTAGCAATCTTTTACACTTAATAGTTGATACTATAGAAATTATTGACTATAGCTCATTATACAAACAAAACTTATTCTCTTACTATTTTTAATCGAAAGAATAACAATGAAAAATTTATGTGATGCTGAAATTAAAAAAAGAAACTGAAAATAAATAGTAAACAACATTGTTATGAACTTAAACGAACGTCGTTTATACATGTATAAAAAGAAAAAACCTAAACGGTGTAAATTATTTTTTCTTCAATTGTTCTGTTAACTCTGGTACAATTTTAAATAAATCACCAACAAGACTATAATCAGCTATTTGATATATTGGACAATCGCCATCTTTATTAATAGCCACAATAATTTTGCTATCTTTCATACCAGCTACATGTTGAATTGCACCACTAATACCAATTGCTATGTACAATTCGGGAGCAACTATTTTTCCCGTTTGACCAATTTGCATATCATTTGGACAATATCCAGCATCCACAGCAGCTCTTGATGCACCAACAGCTGCTTGTCCCGGAAATAGATCTGCTAAATCAAATAACAATTTGAAATTTTCTTTACTTTTTAATGCTCGACCACCACTGATAACAATACGCGCTGCTGATAATTCTGGACGTTCTGATTTTTGTAATTCTTGTGAAACAAATTCCGATTGATCATTTTTTATATTATCAAACGATGATAATTTTTCAATTTGTGCACCATTATTATTATTTGGTTTAGCTACTTCAAATGCTGTACCTCGAATAGTCATGATTTTTATTTTATCATTTGATTTTAATGTTAATATTGCATTACCAGCATAAATATTACGTGTAAATTTTTCACTATCAATTATTTTTGTTACATCTGTGATGGGTTGAACATCGAGTAGAGCAGCTAAACGTGGTAAAACACTCTTAGAATATGTTGATGCACCACTAAGAATGTGTGTATAATTATTTTGTTTTTGTAAATTCAATAAAAATGGTGTAACAACTTCGGGTAATAGTCCTTTGAATAAAGCGTTTTCAGCTACAAATATTTTTTTAATATTCGTATCAAATTTTTGTAATTCTGCGGCGGCTTCCGAACATTTTTCTTGCCCAATAATTATACAATGTACATCATTGTTTAATTGTTTAGCAGCTGTCAAACTAGAAAGAGAAAATATTTAGGAAAAAGTGTAAACAATTTTTCACGTCAACTTACGTATTTAATGTGATTGGTGCTAATGTCCCCTTATCTGATTGTTCAGCTAGTACTAATGTACTGGAAAGACGAATAGTGTGTGTACGTGATATCAAACGACAAAGAATATATCGGCTATGCATCTAAAATAAGAAAGCACTAAACAATTAGACAATCTTTTTTTCAGCATTTGTTAATAATGTCAGTTAGCTTCTAAACTGAATATATTCCAAAAAATACTGAAACATCAGAGAAACGAACCGTGATGCACTCAGGTATAATGTTCATGACACAGATGGTGTATGTAAAAACATATCACAATTTTATCTCTATTTTTTAGCTGATTGCTTATATTTTTGCCAAGCCAAATGATCAGTATCAAAAATTTGCACAAGATAAGCGAACGTTGATAAAGCTATTGTACTACTTTGAACAGCAAACCGTACGTTATTTATAGAATACACTTCTGTAAGATTCAGATAAGCAAATTTTAAACTGCAAACGTTTTTAAGAATAGCCGGTAAGTTGAACTGTGACTATAAATGTTTGCATTACAGTTCCATGTCTATTGTTAGATCATTCGTTATAAAAGTGCGAGTTTATAACAAAATGAATATTTATCATACCATTTTTTCATTTCAACTTCAAATTCACAGAACTCATCCATTTTAATAAACTCAGTTCTATTGAATATAATAAAAAAATAGTATTTTTCCACGAGAATTCATTCTTTATCTAATCCGTATATTAAATCAATAATTTTTGAAAAATAGCACCAATAATCGAAAAATCAGGAAAAGAACAGCCTCGTCAAAGTAAAGCACATCGTAAAACTATGACAAAAAACATGCATTAAGAAAATAACCATTGTTTATATCGCAAATTAAAAGTTTTGATGTAGCCAAATTGGCCAATCCAATAATTACAATCATCAAACCAAAACATCAAATTTATTGAAACAACCAAAACCTGATCAACAAACATAGCTTTCAACTGCCCTGTCCACTTCTGGTGGGCACGTCATGGGTACTGTACCTAAAACAATTCTAACGGCGACAACAACAGTTAAAGAAAACGAGAGATGCGAAAACAAAAATAATAAAAATAAGAGCACTTTACAACTAATGTTGAATAGTGTTAAAAACCAAGAATAACACAAAGAGTAAACAATTTGAGTAAGCTTACAACAAATAGATGAGAGAAAAACTGATATTAATATAAAGCGTCAAAAGCATATAATTTTTTGTACCTTATCAGTTTTGATCTGTTTATATAAGCTGGAGCACTATATGAGCCAAAAGGATACTCTGTCTCTAAGGTTAGAACAGTACACTTTTCTTCACACCGATTAATTCCACAAGCATCAATTTCTGACTCCCTTAATTACAGTAAATGATACTTTCAAAAATTAATGTTTACTCGTTAACTTAGAAGTTGTATGTAATCAAAACTATAATCCGGTTTCTGTATGAAAATGATTTAGTGCTATAGAAAATGCTTAGCCCAACATGAAACAGTACAAAAAATTGATCTACTAAACAATAACGTTCACCTTATTCATATATGCTCAAATAAGATAAAGTTATGAGTCTTCAGATGTCCCAAACTAGTTAATACCTTCAAGATTATATTACGCACGAAGCAGAAGTAGCAGTTGCAGCTGCATTGTATAAAGGATTTTATGTCCAGAATCAAGCATTTGACTCCGATAGTCTTTCTATGCAGTAAGATAGAAAATAATTCACCTTGACCGACAGAATACGGTGAACTGAATAAAGATAAGTTATTGTTGTATTTTGCTCCTCATACCATATTGATCTGTGGTTACGTGCGTAAGTGGGCTGTTTTTCACCCAATAGTATAACTACTTTCCTGATAACTAATTTCGGTAGATCGCGTAACAATCGAATGGTGTAGAAATAAAGGAAAGCAGGGAGAAGACAGATATGACAATACGTTAAGTTAAAGTATTGTTACACATTAACGTTTAATCTTATGACAAGGTAACAAACAAAAGCGCATATGTATATACCCTGGTAAATAAATGTATCCATGTCAAAAATCTTGAACTAAGATCTTGATTAAAACTTAAAAGATTTCTCCAGTTTCTGTTCAATTATTTCAAGGTCTTACGCAGATTTCTGGACATCTGTCAAGATTTTGAGATCATTTTGCAGTTCAAGATTTCGATAATTTTTGTTACAGAATCTACCCTGAAAAAACTTGATCAAGATTTGGTATTTGCTGTTGATTGATAATTCTGAGAAATTAATTAATTAGTCATTGATTAGGCTGTCAGAATCTTAACAAATTTTCGATATCTGCACAGAATCTAATTGAAATCTTGAATGATCTTTTGGGTTCGTAAGGTATTATTTTCAGCTATTTTTAATTTTTATGTATTGTATTCCACAGTGCTAACTCGGCAGTACTGTAGAGTACCGTACCAACAGTACTGCCCAATTTACAGGTCTTACAATACCAGCACTGTTCAGACAATACCGGAGCTGTTCAGTTAAACGTTATGTCCATACAAGAGACTCGATCATTTTTCAGATATTTACAGTGCGAATAGCGTTTCGTATGTATGCACTTCCAAACAAAAACGGTGATAGAGAGAGCAATACGTATAATTTTCTTCATTGAATGCTTGATTAACGTCCTTGGGATTTTAGGCAAGTAATTAAAGTACTTAAACTCCAGTAAGTAAATCAACTGTTTGACAAGTACTCTCATATGCTTGATAAATAATTACTAAGTTTACAAAATACTTACCCAGTGCTTGTCAAGTGTATACAGAAATTCATAAGTAAATACGTATCTCGTAGCAAGTACATTCAGTAGGGTATGTGTATTTCTATGAACTAGGACTGGTAAAGCAGGTGCATGATACTCCACACAGATCCACCTACTTTATGTACAGCTTCGAGTCCGAAACATGTGATTGTAGTCATCATATAAAGAAGTAAACGTGGCACTAAGGTCTCATATCGTACTCAATCTGATTTTCTAAACGGTGAAGGTTTTGCGGGTCTCATGGAACTACTTCGATCAAATCACAATGAAACCTCATACTTTCTGTACAGGGTGCGTAAAAATGTTTTTCCAGGGGGGTAACGCTATAATTGCGAATAGGGTAAGTAATGAATTTTATACCAGATGAAAGCCCGTCGAAAACGGGATTTATTGATGCTAAATAGTAAGTTTTATCAAA